GACCCGTCGCAGCGTTGTTATAGGGCTTATTAAAAGCGGACCCTCTTCAAGGACTTTCCCTCTATTCATGCAAAAAACCTTTAAGGGTCCCACCTGTGGCTCATTCTGACCCACTAAAGTGTATCTACAGGGCTCAAGAAGTGCTATCGATACATCTCGGGACGTTATGGAGCAGGATTCTCCTGGTACCCTGAATTGGGGAGAAGGTCTGATGGGAATGGATGCCATGTTCCGCATCAGCTGTAACTTGGAAGTCTAACTCTGAACCCTAAACCTAAACCCTCAATCCACCCAAAGAAGCTTGGGAGGAGATTCAGGTGGGTTCCGGAGCGGATTCCGGTGCTGTTCGGGATACCTGCTAGTATTTTTGCTTTTGATGTGGAACTGCGGCCTTAGCATGCTTGGCTTGAAGACGTTTCTTGGAGGTCCATGGGCATGTAAAGCTTGTGTCGTTGACATGTGGGATAAGCATATTTCTCACCATATATAGGTATGATGGCATTTGGTTGCTTTCACGGCGGCTTATTCCTAACAGTGCCAATGCTCGGAGATGCTACTGCCAGTGCACCTGCTGTCAAAGATGCAGCTGCTGCTCTTGCAGTTTTTGTTCTTGCTGATCCTTCGCCCCCCTCCCCCCCCCCCACACCCTTTGGGCCCAGTACCCTGACCGCAACCCGTGTGCCCTACATTAAATTTGTATCTACTTATGTATGTACATAAAGATATGCGTGCACGCAAGCCCCCAGCTTTAATGATAGATTCTAGTACGGCACCTACTATCTAGAGATGCCGAATTTCGACCCTAAGTTTGGGAAGTACCCAGAACATGGGTGGTTGTCAACATTATGGTCTTTTTTTGGATCCCTATTATAATACGGCACCTAGTATTTAGGGTACCCAAAAGGAATCATAGTTTTGACAACCACCCACATACCCAAAAGCCTTGTGGCCAAGAATCCATCGCGAGAGGTGCCACGGTCGGTGTGCTCCCCTGCCTTGACATCTCCTCCTCAGTGCCCCAGCGAGAAGACTGGGTTGCTTTTGAATGAATTTATAGGGTGTAGGGACGTGTAGGGTTTAGGATTTAGGTTGCTAGATAGTACCAATATACCCACAAGAAGGTAATTTAATGAAAGGTCTTACATTAGGGGAGCCATCCTAATGGCTTTCTACCCCTAGTATAGTAGTATAGAAACTTAGTTGAAGCTCCTGAACAATAGCCCAGAAGAGTAAAGGTGGGTTTAGTGGAGACTCGAAGATTGAACGTTGTACGTCTGCTCATGAAAAGGAATCTTTTAAAGCCTGCTGTTGGCCTTTCAGATTTCATAAGACCTAAACTCCTAAGCCCCTAAACTCTAAACCCTGAATCCTAAACCCTAAGCCCTATATCCTAAACCCTAAAATCTAAATCCTAAACCCTAAACCCTAAGTTTTTTTGGGTTTTAGGGGTTTTGGCCTTCCTATTTAGGAGAAATCGGCTTGGCTCCCCTTGCTAGGCTTGCAAGCAGGTTCCATAGGGAGTGAGATTTAGGGTTTAGGGTTTGGGGGTTTAGGGTTCTGGGTTTAGGTGTAGGGGTTTAGGGTTTAGTGGTTTCGGGTTTAGGGGTTTAGGGGTTTAGGGTTTAGGGGTTTAGGGTTTAGGGTAGCGAGTGTTGCCTTGTATGTTTGTGGCCCAAATCTGCGGGATCTCCATATTAAAGTTTCCAAAAGGGGTACCTTACCTGGTGTGCCTACCATAAGAATTCTAGCATTTTTGGGTTGACATTGGGGTCCCCAGTTCATGGAAACCACCATATCTTTGCAGAGCCCTCCTGTTTTGGGCAACGTCTCGCCCTAAACCCGAGACCCTGAACCGCGAGAAACCGCTGATTCAGGTGACTGCCTTCGGACGTACCATGATCGATCACACCAAGCAGATGGTCCAGGAGAGAACTTCTGGCTGGCTGTCAGGTGGGTTAGGTGTTGGGGTTTAGATTTTAGGGGCTAGGGTTCGGGGTTTAGGGCTTAGGGACTAGGGTAAGAGCTGTCATGCTACATTACGCAGGGCCGAAGCAGATTATTCTGATGATTTGGTTGTTGGATTGGTGTCCGCAGCGTGCAAAGGAAGCGCCGAATCCGGTATAAAATCGAAGCTCATTGCGGCCTCTGTCAGAATCCTGGCACAATTATCTTTCAATATGCCCCAACACCCTAGCCTCATTATGTTGTGCCTGCATTGCAGCACCTAAGCCCATTGTTTAAGATAAGTATTGATGTCCCATCGTGCTTTGCACCTATGCCTGCCGGTGATTGTTTTGATGATGGGCTAGGATTTAGGCCGATGCGGGGCTTCGTCATGCAGAGAGCGGGCCTTAGGGCAGAGATTTGTAATAGTGGTATAATAGGAATATAAGAAAACCCTAATATGATTGCGATTATTCCTTATAGTCACTGTTACTGGGTGGGGAGTTCACCTAAAAGTTGTGTGAAGATCTGTTTCGAGGCACGGCAGTCTTCAAAGCGTTTGATTTGTCAACATGTGCTTGCCTGGTTGCATGTCACGCTGCTATTCTGGGGCACTGTAAAACCTGAAGCCTATGGGAGACCTTAGGAGGACCCCCCACCCTGTAATAGTGGCATAGCAGGAATATCAAAGGACCTTAATCTAATCCTTAGCATCCCTTATAATCACTTTAACAGGGTGGGGGGTACACCTAAGGGAGACCCTGTCTCCCAGCAACCCCATCCAGCGAAATCTTGCAGGGAAGCCTCCGGCTGCCTTTACTGCACTTTGCTGGGATCTGAGCCTTTGTGAGTGGGGCTAAAGTGGCTAAAGTAGGATAGTGAGAACAGTATCTAGAATCCAGTCGATTTCAAAAAGTTGCAGCTGTGTGCAGAGCTGCAATCATCTCTACCTACAGCTTCCCGTGAACCTCCCACCTGATCGGTAGTATCCTGGGAGGAGAACTTCTGCATTGAGAAAGGCTTCGCGCATGATGCCGAAGTCATCTACGGCGATGCTTGGAAATTGTTGATCAATGCTTGGATCATCCGGGAGCGTTGCACTTCAAGGTATCTAAGGACCATTTTCTGTGGGGAGAAATGCACAAAGGGATAAGGCCCAAAGCTTGGGCCTACCATATGAGGGAGAATGATGAAGAGATCTCGGGTCAAGCAAATGGGTAGGTTGTTTCCCCCACCCTGCTTTGGCATGGTCATGAGCGCTTAAACCTTTCAAGCACAAACATAGAATGGAAATTGACCACTTCAACTGTTACTCTCACTCAAGCCAACGTGGAGCCTTAAACTGGGCCCTACAGCATCTATTGCCCTTTTGCCAGGACACCCTATCAACCTCCATGTTTGTTTGTGGTAGGGTATCTGAACATGACCCCAGGACACAGACTCCGACTCTTGGCTGCGAGAACAGATCGACAGCCTGAGTAAGGAGCCATGGTGTAAGACAGGGTTCAGGAATTAGGTGATCACGGAACTTGGGGCCACAAAGCCTGACCATCATCACATCTTCTTTTTCCCACATAGCAAACTATTGGCAGCTGACGTACAATAATTTGCCACATGCAACGGCGATGCGCAGTGAATCACTGCAGTTGGTTGATTCGAAGCCGCAACAAACTTGAAACATCATCTCATTATGGTGGTTTCCCTACATAGGGGACCCCAATATAGATTCGAAAATGCTATAAGTCCTTACTATAGGGAACCCCCCCCCAAAAAAAAAGGTATACCACATTTTGCGAATTCCCGTTTCACTTCCATTACAACCCGCGGCCTAGACCAGAGCCCTCTCTTTCATCATCTCATCTGATGCCCCAAAAACCATAGCCCAGATTACTGGGGATAATGTAGGGGCTTCATAGGCGGTTTAGGGTTTAGGGTTTTTTGGAGGGATTGTATGGGGGGCTGTTGGAAGGATCCATTCCTTCATCCCTCTTACCATAAAAAGCATGCGTGTTCGGGACTCAAGGAATCCTCGGGCTCAGGCCTCACATTAGTCAGAAGACTTGGCTCCTGAAAAACGCCACCCCAACAGAGTTTAGGGTCCCCCTTAAAGTAGTATATGGTTTTGGGTATATCTTAATAAGACCCCCATATTCTATCTACCTAAGGGGGACTATGGGGTTCAGGGTTCCTTAGGCCCGAGAAAGCTCGACTACTTCACTTGGCCCTCTTCCTGGATCTTTTCTTGTGGTTTAGGGTTTAGGCTCACCCCTAAACAATCCGCAGCGAGGGCCCGACAGACCGTAGAAAGCTCTGCGACTCTACGTGTTACTTTGAGCAGCGCTCCGTCTGTGCCACAATTCCACTAGAGCGGTAAACCCTGAACCCTAAATCTCAAGGGGTTCAGACTCGTACCCCTTGGGTTCCCTGGTTTTGGTATCCTCTTAAGGGACCCTAGGGAACTACATTGGCCCGCACAAGGGCTACATCAAGGTCATATAGGGGAATGGTACGACCTTAGGGGTAGAACCTAGGAATGTCTGAGAATCAACCCCGTTCTGAATTGCAAATTCTAATTACAGTCACCCTTAAGTAGATAGAGTATGGGGTACATGGGGTTCGTGATATAATATACCCAAAGCATATTCTATCTACCTAAGGGGGACTAAAATCCCTAAAACTTTCAAGCGAAGCCTGGACCCAGATCTTCTAGGGTTTAGGGATTAAGGGTTTAGGGTTTAGGGTTTAGGATTAGGGGTTTAGGGTTCAGGGTTTGGGGTTATCCCGTAAACTCTGAAGCCCTAAATCCTGAACTCTACACGGCAGACCACAAATTCTGAACAAGGCTGGCAGGACGCAAAAAGAGATCCTACAATACAAGACAACCCTATTTAGCAAAGCAGTCAGGCTATAAGCGGGATATCATCTATGTCCCCCTATAGTTGGTCTTGTACTTCGTAAATCCCAATCCCTAGACCCTAAGCTTTAGTCGCTAAACCCTTAGCCCTGATCTCTAAAACCTGTAAACCCGAAAGCTGAACTCCAAGCTCTTAACGTTGAGTCCTAAACTCCAAACCCTGAACCCTAAACCCTAAACCTTCGACCCTAAACCCTTAACCCTTAACCCTAAACCCTAAACAAAATTAAGCCATCGACTCTTAGTCCTTACACCCTGAGCCCAGGTTATGGTCAAATTCGGGGTCGATGACATCGCCGAGGCCATGCGCTTGGGCCAGGAAGCAGCCGCACCTCGGCTGCAGTGGCTTCCTCAATCTTAGAAGCCCGATCCCCCAAATAACACCTTCAAACCCTAAACCCTCAACCCCTAGACCCCAAGCCCTAAACAAAAGTTTCAAGGAGATGGTGTCCGCGACCTTTGCGAAGCCGATTAAGCTGGAGCTGCTTGGCACGAGCCATTTTTGCTAAGCTTGGGATTTTGGCGTTTGAGCTGGGGTTTAGGGTTTGGAGTCTAGGGTTGAGGTTTTGCAGTTGAAGGTTTAGGTTTTGGGGTGTGCGTTGGGTGTAAGTAAGGAACCTATACCGCCCTGTTTCAGGGGTTTTGGTTTTGGCTCAATGCTCCAGAACCTTTCCCGTGCCGGATTGTTTTGCCTGGATCAGCCCCCTGCAGTCATATGGCAGGATACCCTCCCTTTACTGAACTTTGGTCTTTCAGTCTCTTATTGCTGGCACGCGACGCTTCCGCAGCTATCTGGAATGGAGGAGTTGTGTACCGGTCCAACCTTGCCGAAAAAACTGAAACCGCGAAACCTTCAGCATGCATTCCTCTATGACAAAAGTCTACTTAGATTCTAGCATAACCTTTCCACTTATACCCCTTACATATCCCTAGCGTCCCTAAGGTCTTCATGTTCTTAGAACTCAACCTGCCTCAAACCCTAAATCCTAAACCCTAAATCCTAAACCCTAGACCCTAAACCTGAATCCTAAACCCTAAACCCCAAACCCTGAACCGTCCTCAAACTGAAGCCTGAACCCCCTTGGGCTGACCAGGTTTGAGAAGGTGTACTGCCCGTACCTGCTCATGAACAAGAAGCACCTGCCTTAGGTTTAGGGTTTAGGGCTTAGGGCTTGCTTTTTGGAGTTTGGGACCTGGGAGGCAGTCTGGGCTTGGGGGGGCTCAGCATTTAGTTGCCTGGGCTTCCGAATGGGTTTCAAAAAAGATGACAGCGGCCCGGTTTGGGAGTCCCTATACTAAGCAATTCTTCTGTATATTCGGGTGTATACTGGTGTCCTTCTAGTTTTGGAAGCTCTCACATGTACATGTCTGACTCGTCACCAGGGGGTGCTCCTGTGAGAGGAGTTTTTGCGTTGCCGAAGCTCCTCCTGTCATGCCGCTCTCATTGTCGAACGTCCACTGCCTTTCAATACTTTACACCCTAAACCCAAAATTAGTATGCCAGCTCAAACCCTAAACCCTAAACCCTAAACCGCGTGGCTTGCAAACCTAGTTGGAAGGGAATCACAGCGGCTGCTGGGACAAATTTCACCCAACCTCACCGCAACCCGTGGCTTCTGTAGCGAACGGTCCCAATACCCAAGAGCCTAAAGGCCTTCAATCCTAAACTCCAAGCTCTGATCCCAAACCATACGTAAGTATGTCATTTCAGGCATTGGCAATGCTTTTCACTTGGCGGGCGCAATCGGTATCTTGAACAGGTGGCACTGTATGGGAGTTGTATCCCGCAACAGGGCCTCTGCATACCACAGACCTTTGCTGCCCAATGAAGCTAGACCGAGAACTTCAAGTTGTACTACTGAAATTTGTCATGTTGGAAACTTATTCTACATGTTGTAGTTGTTAATAGGTTGCTTGTGGTTTTCCAACAGGCAGCCCCTAATCTTATCCCAACTGCCTAAAGTCCTAAGATGGATGTCTGCACCGCCTTCTACAGCTTGTACAAACAGCGGTAGAATCATGTTTGTGAGAGCCACCTCTGACACATCAGAAGAATCTCTGGGTTGTTGTTAAGGACCTTAACTTCTGGGACCATGTTGTGGATAAGTAGTAAACAGTGCGTGTCCTTATCATTGTGAGTTATTCTAACTTCAGGGACAGCAGCCCCGAATCTGCACTGCAGGCGGTATGCCGGCCTCTACTGGACAAATCCGGACAAGTACGACAAGCTGGACGCGAAAGGCATCGAGACGGTTCGCCGTGACAATTGCGACCTGGTGGCTCCTAGCTGGGGTCTAGAGTTAAAAGGTTTGGGGTTTAGGGTCTAGCACGGGTTCAGGGTTTAGGGTCCGGTGTCTGTAGCAGTGGGGTCTGGCGCTGGTCCCTCGTCTGGATTGATACTCAGCATGGTGTCCAGACGTTCTCTCGAGAGAACATGCAGCTCTGTGCTTTCCTATTGCTGTGGCTTCAGTATCTTCAGTTGGAGTTCAGGGGTCTCTTGGTCAATCTGGCGTGCATGGAGTGGTTTTACGAGGCTTTCCTTAGTGATTTCCATCATCTTCATCAACAAGCTTTCTCAGATTTCAAGCTCGTCCTTTTGTATGAACTCGTTAGTGATGCATGGGGTCGCCGACTGGCAGCGCTGGCATGAGTCCAGTTGTTGTCGCGTCTCAGATCCTTGGGCTTCGGCCTTAAACCAGGCGTGGAGAGTTGCAAGCCTGCTGCAAAAAGGGTCCAGAGTTCAGGGGTTACCAGAACCCCAAAAGTATGTGGAATGTGTCCTTGACTTTTTTCAAGAGGGGGGGGTTTGAGGCAAGCCCTTTGCTTCATCCAGGCTACGTATGCACTTGAGACCTGCCTAGGTAGTGTGGATATTTCTCAAATCTTCACAGACGTCCCAAACTGGTCAAATCTACATCACAAGGACCCCAAAAAGAGATCCTATTAGACCTTTAAGGCCCCTTAATCTACACTTATTAGGGTCCTAGCACGGATTTTAGGGTCTCATAGCTCATACTGGTATCCTGGCATCTCCATGACCCGAGGTGGTTTGGCCCGGCACTTGGTCGACATGTCGCTGCGGACCATTCTGATTGACAAGTCCGTGCCCAAGGCGCCTGCCTGCGCGGTTTAGGGTCTATAGAGCCGTTGCTGGACGAAATCTTGCACCACCTAGGGGTCTTTAGCTAATGCAATTCCTAGGATCTAGGGAACTTACGGTGGTGCAGGAACAGCATGGCGCTATCAGGGGCCGTGCAGGATACTCGAGCCTGCGGTCCGTGGTTCAGGTTGCGGTCCTGACCCTAAACTTTGAAAAAACATTGCTGAGGCGGATTGCAAAGGTAAAAGAAGGGCTGCAAAGAAACAACCCTAAACTGGGTTGCTGTTAAGGAATTCAATTTTTTAACTTACCACTATGGATATATGTAGTAAATAATAGGGTTTCCCCCATATAGTAACTTAAATTAAGTTCCTTAACAGCAACCCAGTAATCTTCAACCCTGGGCCCTGCCATGAAGGTTAGAGCTGTCAGGCTTGGCGTTCAGGATTTAGTTTAGGGTTTAGGGTTTAGGGTTCGGGGTTCGTAAAGCCCTTCATGACCCTAAGTACTTTATACCGGAGTTATGTGTTTATAGTCTACAAAGGTCATGCAGGGTTTTGAGTATCAACATATTAGGGTTTCCCAAAATTAGGGGTACCTTTTTGCGGGGATCCCAAGAATAAGGATGATATAGTATTTTGGGGTCTATATTGGGGTCCCCCTATTTAATGAAACTACCACATCTCGGGATCAAGAATTTCAACGCAAGAGCAGCTACTGAGCTCTGCACTTTTTGAGCCGCAATGTGGGTCGTGGTGTTTGTTTGCAGAGGTGGTGGCAGTAGTGGTAGTGGTGGTGGTGGTGGTGGTGGTGGTGGTGGTGGTGGTGGTGGTGGTGGTGGTGGTGGTGTAGGCGCCTCCCCCCTCTAGGGACTACACTTTACTTAACATGGAATATAACGGGAAAGGGGTGCCGTGGGGGGAGGGTAGTTCCGTGCTGAGAAATTTGAATCGGGAGGCAACAACTCGTGGGACGTGCGTTTTGGAAGTTATAGGGATTATAGCATTAAGGGTTCTTTGCGGCATATGATCCACGCAGGAAGTTCTTCGACCGGTAGCACTTTCCAGTGGCAGGCACCACGGCGAGGTGATACTAAGATGTCGCCGCTGGTGGACTTTTGACGACCGCAATAAGCGGTCATCTTGGGAGTGGCAGCCGTAC